AGGTTGCAATGTTAATCTCCTTTGGCCTAATGCTTAGACTTATATTGATGAAAATGAGGATGAAAATGATCAAAGTTGTCGGAATGGTGAAGATTATCAAAAAGATGAGATATAAGTGAAACGAAAAAAAGGCATACAATCAGTTTTATAAGTTTGTAGTTGGTGCAGTAATAGTGGCTTTCTTAGGTTGCAAATGCATGATGGGGAGTCTAAAACTCAAGAACGAAATTTAATGAAAAATTTACATTACACTGGCGGAACCCAGTCATTCAACTATGTACCGGGCGTTTTTTATTCATTTTACGCCTGTTACCAGGTATAACTCAGGAACGGTTGTTACACACCTCTGAACTGAACCATAAGTTTACGCAGATTTGCGAACCATCAAGCACGGACGCTCAAGGTCATTCAAGTTCAAACCGCTAATTGACATTTGGAGTAACATCAAACTATCTGAAAAAGTTTGCTCTATCACAAAATGACCTTCAAATGTCAATTAGAGGTCAAATAGCGGTTTAACCTTGAATGACCTTGAGCGTCCGTAATTATGGTTATTCAATCTGCGTAAGCTTATGATTCAAGTCTGAGGTGTGCAGCAGCAACCTTTCCTGAGTTATGCTACGTTCTTGAGGACATGGTCAACAATGTTGACTTGTTGGAAGTAGAAATAGAATATTTCCTGCTCCCATAGTTCATCTCTACATATAAAGTGTGATAAGTTTTATTTTCACAACTTACGTACATTTTGTTATAATGCCTAATTTTTATATTAAATTAGTAAACAAACGAATTGATGTCGAAATTTATCTCGAGCGTGAAACTCAAGCTCAACTACAACATTTTCTGCAAACTCTTACGTAGTTTCCAAAATCCAACCAATATGCTCTCGATGGAGGCAACATAAACAGTCCTCGTGAAATTTATTTTAGGTTTTATAAAGTTAAACAGCGCCAAACCGACAAGCTAATCCTCGCTTTAATTTCACGGAAATAGAATCCAAACCCATAGGATTTTCATTTTAAAAATAAGTGATTATAATTTACAATGTTAATATGTAAATTTTTATATGAATAAATTCTGTTTCTTTGAACTCTTGTATGTTATTTCATTAGAAAGTTAAGTAGCCCTCAGTTCCAGTAAAACTTAAGTCAATCCAACAAAAGTAGAAAAAGGTCGCCAAAATCATCACCTGCAAAGGTCAAGAAATGTATTGATATTCTCATGACTTGAAGGAAACTCAGGATTATAAGAGAAATAATCTAGCGCAGTTTCGGGTGAAGTTTCTATTGCTACCGCGCTTTGGTCTGAAGTATCTCGATTGCTTTTGGATACTGTTTCATCCAAAAAGTAGTTTACCGGGCGTATTTTTCTATTTATCGCCTGTTTACAGGCATAACTCAGGAACGGTGGCTGCTAAACACCTCAGACTTGAATCATAAGCTTACGCAGGTTGAAGAACCATAAGTACGGACGCTTAAGGTCATTCAAGATCAAACCACTATTTGACCTCTAATTGAAATTTGTAAAATTTCGTTTCTTTGTCTAATTGAGCAAATTTTTTCAGATGTTTTGATGCGAGTTGCATGATTATATTTTTTGTTGGTCAGGAGATATGAGTGTTCCATACCGTAGAGTTTGACAATTTCCTCTATCAGAAAATGACCTTCAAATGCCCATTAGAGGTCGAGGTTTAACCTTAAGCGTCCGTATCTATGGTTCTACAACCTGCGTAAGCTCATGGTTCAAGTCTGAGGTGTTTAGCATCAACAGTTCCTGAGTTATGCCTGCACGCAGGCGTAAAATGAAAAAAAAACGCCCGGTATCATCTTCATAAGGCTATTAACTGATTGCGGATTCAACTCTTATGCCTTAAAACGCTCATTAAAAACCAGCATTCTTATGCTTAAACGGTTGACCGGGAATTCAAATGAATTTCGCCAATACTTTGCAGAAAGCTTTACTTCGGCCTAATGCTAAAACTTATGATAAAAATGATAATGAAAAGATAAAAATGGCAAGATGATCAAGAAGATAAAGATTAAGAAGTAGATGATGACGATAATGATGATGATGATGATGATAATGGGGAAAAGATGACGGATTTAAGGCTTTCATTAAGCTTCATTTGATTGGAAAGAGTGACTTTATTAGGTCGAATATTCATGATTGAAAGCCTCACTTAACTCGCATAGATGATGTTGGAGATGAAAAATGGCAATGATTAGAGTGATTAGGATAATAAAAGGTTGACTGAATTGTAGATTAATATTGAATGGAAAGGTTGAAATTAATTGTAAATTTACATGAAATAGCAACATTTTTAGGTTTGCACTTTCTTCTTGCCTGGTTAACATTAATATTTTTGCGTCAAATATACAAATGATTTCAACAATTGTGATGATATCTTCAGGTTTACCCAAGCATAAGATAACTTTGATCAAATTTTCATCTTCATCTCTTTACCAGAATAAGTCATTAATAATGGGCAACCTTTTGATGTGTTAAAAAAACAGTTTGCCATAAATGATAACAGTGTTGGCCAATTGGTAAAAAATGTACAAATTAAATGCAACATTACAAGAAATGAAAAAAAGGTACAAAAAAAGGCTAAAACGGCAATTGAGCTCTTTTTTTGCATCATTTTTGTGTTACTCAAATCATGATGATGATTATGATGAAAGGAATCATTGAAATGAAAGTAATTTAAGCTTGTAACATTGGAAAAACATTGAGATTATTTTTTCTTCTCTTCTTCTGGTTCGCCTTCAATTTGAATGTGCAAAATGTTTTGGTTAGTTCATGTTCATTATCATGTTCATCTGTATCACAAAAGGAAAACTTGAAATTGACATTTAACTTTAATATTCATCTCAATTCATGATTCAGAGTATTCAAAGTTATCTCCATGAGGATGATTCTTACGATGAACATGATGGAAAAGTTTCAACTTTCAATGATCCATCAACATTATCACAGTTTGAATAAAAGCGATTCTTGTTTCCCTTTTATTTCAAAAATATTAATAACAATAAACTTTTTCTTCTTCTCAGCTATTCCACATTTTACCATGAAACTCATCGATGATTTACTCTTATTTTTTGCCTTCATTCACAGTGTTGTGATTTACAATTTAACAATGCAATTATGAATATTATATATTATTAAATCGTTTCGCCTCTCACTTGTATTTTTTGCACATTTCCTGAGCTGTTTCTTACCATCAACAACAATTTGGGTTATTTTTTTGTTGTTGCTTAAATGAAACCCAAAAGCTTTCAATACAAATTGTAATGATTAACCTTAACCTTGGGTTGCAATTGCTTTGCAATTCATTAATTACTATTCATTTTACTGATTAGTCTTGAATATTAATGCTGCTCTTTGCTTAAAGCCTTTGATTTTCATTATTGCTTTTCCTGATTTAGCTGATTATGCTAGTCTTTTTGAGATGACATTTTGGGTTAATCGACAATTTAATTTGACAATTTAGTTCAACATTGAAATGGTTAACCCATTTTGGGTATTTCTGGTCAACAGTTTACACTTAATTAATGCCTTTTTTTACCCAATACAAGGTCTAATCTTATTTATTTCCGTATTAATTTCAATATGGATTGGGTTGTTGTTGTTGTTGTTTTTTCTGGTTGTTTGCTTATGTCTTCAATCTCAATGTATTGTTTATTAATGAACCTTTGTGGCTCTGGTTTAGGTTGACAAGTAAATTGATTAATCCAAAAATTGTCATCATTAACAATACTTACACAGCAATAATATAACCATCATTGTAGTTGTTTATATTGATCGTTGACCATTTAAAGGTTCAATTGAGTTGTATTTGCTTTGCTTTGCTTTATTTTTTTCCCTCCTCAATCCAAAGTGTATTCACGTTCACATCATTTGGTTATCATTGTTTAATCAGCATTTCATTCAATTGGGTTAATTGATTTGAATCTGAGGTAAATCTGTAGTTTATAATTGTTGTATTTACCAAACGAGATGATTTTTATGGGTAAACGCAACCCAAATGTTGTTGATATAATGGAGGTAAAAATTGAATCCAATGGAGAGCAATTTACCTTTTATTTCAATTGTTTATTAAAATTGAATGGTGATATTTAAATAATGGAAAGCATCAATTAAGTTGATTAATTTAAAAAGCCATTTCCAGTCTGGTTAGTTGTATAAGGAAAAGGTTCATTGAAATTTACTTCTGACAATTGTAGCTCATCAAAGATGGGTTCTGGTTAAATTTAATCAAACCTAGATCAGATAAGACTGTTGAGGATCATGGCTGACCAAAACTCGATCCTTATTGTCCAGTGGTTATCGACTAAATGTCAAATTACTAGGCATGTTTGCCTGAGGTTGAGCCTGTTGTAACCAAATGTTTGAATAGTAACCCAAGTAAGTTGGGTTGTAAGTGCAACAAAAATTTGGGTTTTCACTGTTGACTGTAAAAACTGGTAAACACAATGTTTTACAAACTGTAAACAGTAAGGTCAGTTGGATCGTCCATTCTTGCCTCAAATTCAATATCTTAATTCAATTTCTTGTCCTCTTATCCAAAAAGGTTTAACCATTATTTACTGTAAACAAAGATGCGTCTTATAATCTTTTCACGTATCTTTTTTTATTCATTCAATAATTACATTCAACTGACCGTTTCCAATTAATTATCATTAGACTGTTGACTGTTTAACCATTAAAGTCCATTCCTGTGATCAAAATGCTCATTGTTTGACCAATATTTTCCACTAGCAACACTATTCACCCATTATCGTCTATAATATCCCAGTGTTATTACCATCAACTATTACCTGATTTACTTTCAACCTTTTTCCTTCTTGTTCATTTGCCTTCCAATTTTACGTTCAATGTTATTAAACTATTTTTATTATTATTAATATTACCTTTTATGATTATGTTTATCATGACTTTGTTACATTGAATCAGGGTAATAATAATGGTAATATCTTTTGATAAAGTGCAAAATGATGCCTTTGGTGCCTTTCAAATTTGCCTCCGCTTTTTTTGCTTGGTTATGCTTCTTGCTCCTGGTTGGCTGTTGTGTTGAAAATGGTTGACCCATGAAATTATGATTATTGTTATTTTGATCAAGTTTACTTTTGCTGGGTTTACAATTCAGATCTTTTCAAATCTCATGGAATATTTAAAGCAAACCCTGTTTTCATGGCTGTTTAGGATACAAACAGTGTACAGTCAACTTGTTTACTTGTCAACAGTTAGTTGACTTTGCTCAGCCTTAACCGTTATTATTATGCATCAAATTGATTTAAACATTGTTCCTCTGGTAAGTAAAAGGCTTAACGTTTGGACAATAGTCATTCACTCATTGAAATTTTTTTCTTCTTCTTCTTCTTGATTCTGGTCAGTAGTCACATCATGTTTTTTCATTTGGCAAAGTTAATGGTTGAACTCAATTTCAATGATCAAATAATAACAATTTTTGGATTTGGATGGACTCTTTGGTTTAACCTTATCAACGCATAACCAGGCAACCAAACCAAGTCACACAGTTTACCATTAATCAGCCCAGTAAATTGGTTTAATTTGTTAGGAAAAAATCTGAATTGGAATCACCAAAAATTACAAAACTCTGGTCAACTTTGGTCAACCCAAACAAATACAAAGAATGAAAGGATTTTTTTTCTCACTGGGTTTCATTGTCAACCCACTCAAACCATCTGGGGCTGGATAATTTTTCATCATTTGTCTATTACATCAACTTGTATTTTGTATGTGTGTTTATTATTGTTTATCATTATGTGTGTGTGTGTTGATGTCATTTTGATGATATTTTTAACTGAAAACACACACAGATAGACACACATAGAGACACATACAAAGAGTTGTGAGCAAAAAAAAATGTGAAAACCCATTTTAAAGTGAGACAAAAAAACAAACACATAAACAACTCTAATGGCCAAACTTAGGTAACCTTTTCATGTAAAATGTACATTTAAACCATTAATCTAACCAACAACAGCTTAATATATTATTGACTTGAATTGCTTCCAGTTTTAATGTATTATTAAAGTTGTTTGTTGTAGGTTTACTTGATCATCATTAGTTGCCTTATTACCATGGTTAGGTTGCCTTTGTTGTGTTACATCTGATCCATTGGAATCCATTTAAATTGTTTTTAATGCAACGATATAACCAAAACTTGCACAATGTACAGACTATTTTAATGTTATCAACATTACCCAAATATATTGATGACAACCTATTTAACTTGTAATAATACTAACCATCATTAGTAACAATGATTGATTAACCTATGAGGTGACAACTGTTCATTTGATATTTAATTTAACTCACATAGTATCCTGAAATATAAACATTATTGGAAAACCATTATGATTGGTGTTAAATGGGTTTCAGGTTTAAGATGTAGGTGATACCTTAAATTGGAGTCGTCAATGAAATCAAGCCAAACAGTTAACAGTGAATCAACTTGTCTTAAATGGCCCATTTGGCTCAGACATAGTCATTTCAATTTCACACTAATTAGCTTTTTTAAAATTGAAAATTTTCTGGTTTTTTTGGTTTACCTTTTTTTGTTACAAAATGTCAATCTTTGCCAAACGATTTTGGCGGTTTATTCAACTTCAACAACCCACTGGCTTTGATTGATTACCTAAGAGTTCATCATTTACTAATGACGATAACCTTTGTCATTTACACATTTAGAAAGTACAACAATCAAAGTTAAATTAACAGCAAGTAATGCGATATTAACATGGGTTTGGTTTTTGCAAAAACATGGTAACCTAAACCTGATTATCATACATATTTGTTAAAAACATAGTAACTTTAACTTGAAAGCAAAAAGAGGTTTTTAGAGTGAAAATGTGACTTTGTACTCAATTAACTAAATGTTTAACAATTTAACTAAATAAATATACTTATATTATTTGGTATCAAGTTTTGGTGACAAGGCTAAATTAACATGTAACAATTAAGTTTACTGTTAATACCATTTACCCAACATTTGTAAAGGCTTTTTACGCCTGTAAAAGTATACATTTGTTACTGTGATTATTATTACCAAATTGGATAAAATGAGCCAGAATCAAATTGATTTTGTATTCTGGTTTTTTGGGTAAACTAGAACATCTGTAATGATTAAGTTAATCATAGACTGTAAACTGTTTTGCGTGAGTTAACCTACAGCCTTTTACACGTTTACCAGAGCAACTAATGATTTTTACAGGCCTTGTAAAGGTTTGATTGTTAATACATTGGTCGGACCTTAAAGGGTTGTTATTTTGTGGTTGATCATCAATTGAAAATTGTTGATCAATGTTGATGGTTGCATATATATCATTTAAAGTGATTAAAATGGGTAATTTGGTTTTACCAACAGATTTTGTTGCCTACTGTTGAAATGATTTATGAAAAGGCCAATGTATATTTTAATGTAAATCAATGTTTCGTTGAATGTTAATGATTAAATATCGATTTATACTTTAAATGTATTAAATGTCATTAAAGTGTTGAAACAAAACACAAATGAAAAAGAGGTAAAAGGGTTTCATTAAGGTTGAACATTTTTACATTTTTGGATGGTTGGTTGAGATTACAACAGGCTTTACAATGGGCTATTCAATGGGTTAGACAATGGATAGACAATGATGATTAGACTGATGATCACTGATGAATTGTTTGATTGGCAGTTGATGGCAGAGTTAATCTGAACAGTAGCAAGTTAAAGTGAAGTTGAAGTCGAAACAAATGGAGTAAGTGAGAGAAATGAAGAATCAGTGAAATGAAGTGAACCCCTTTTGAACATGGTTATCATGATATTATTAAGTAGGACGAATGATCCTCCGGTTGTAACTCTTATCATCTCACTTTTTACTCTTTCCTATTAATCACATCATCTTCATCTTCTTCTTCCTCCTCTTACAGAGCAAACCATCATGACAAGCTTCTTTACCATCTTCATCATCTTTTCCCATCTTTACATTTCTTGTGATTTGATGTGAAAATCATATAAACACAGCAAGTCAACATTTTTGTTACTTCAACCCAAAAAGTGTAAAGCACAGCAAGCATCTCAAGTGAACATGGAATCATCATTCCTTGTTAATGATTAACAAGTAAATCAACAGCTGATTTACAAAAAGGTTACTTTCAGGTGATTATTATATTGGAGTAAATTGTTTGCCTTTCATCACTTGCACCATTTATCCTTTGGAATCTGTTAATTAAATTTGCTGCCAATGATAAAGATATTCACTTGAAGCTAGGAAACAAGTTGAACAATCAACAAAAGAGGAAAGTTCACCATTGTAATCAACTCTTTCGGGTCTCATCAATTAACTTTACATATTAATAAACCTGGTTAACTGTTATGTGATTTTAATTGTGATATCAATGAGCTTTGGCCGGTAAAACAACTACCAAAGGATTTACTTCAAGATCAAATTGTGCCAGATGATCATCAAATGTAATGGTTAAAGACAATGGATAACAATCATTTTAGTTACTTGTTTCATTGGATTTACTGTCAGTGTTAATTGTCGTCCATTTGTATATAACCTTTCACCGACTCATCTGGTCCATTCTGGACTCACAATGGTTCACACCAATGGTTCAATTGCATTTTACTTTACCAATCCTTTGGTAAAAAATGTAACACTAGTTTCCAGTGTTGTTCAACTTTTGTCTTTACCAGACTCACAATCATTGGCATTACACTCAACGGCACCTTTAAGGCCATTAACAGCATCTTCAGTGTTGAATCCAGTTGACTCAATTGACTCTGATAATCCATCTTTAACTCCGCTGGTAGCTTCAGATGATAATACTCTTGAAAGTGTCTTAGGTCCAGTTCGTGATCCACTGGCCACCACAATCACCATGACCATTATTTATGCCATTATCTTTGTGACTGGATCAATTGGCAATGTGTGTACCTGCATTGTAATCAAACGAAACAGATATATGCACACAACAGTTAATTATTACCTGTTTTCACTTGCCATCTCTGATTTGTTGTTACTCAATTTTGGCCTTCCACCTGAACTCTATGCTCTTTGGCGCAAATATCCTTATATTTTTGGTAAATGGTTTTGCATTTTACGAGCCTTTACCTCGGAAACTTCAACCAATGCCTCAATCTTGACCATCACTGCATTCACCGTTGAAAGATACCTTGCCATTTGTCATCCTTTACGGGCTCATACAATGTCCAAGCTGTCAAGAGCAATTAAAGTGATTCTCATTATCTGGGCCATTTCAGCCATTGCAGCAATACCAATAGCCTATCCATTTGATATAATTTACATGGTAAATATAAAACAACAGATCATTAGAAAATTTAAATTCACCGAAAAAAAAGAGTCTTTGCTTCATTTAATAACATTGAACACATTTGAGTGAAATGGATTCAAGATTGCATGTCGCTTCATTTTGTACAAACATTATTATCCAGTCATTTAAAATACAATCAAAATAATGTTGTTATTAACCTTGATTATTATTATTATTTACTTATTAAACTTTGCACGATATTTTGATACCAAGTGATTTATTGATGAGAGAAACAGCATTTTCTTGTTCAACAACCAGTTTTGACTTTTACATTGTTGAGCTTAATGATTAATCAAATGTCGCCATTGAAACTCGACCAGATTTAATCAAACTAATCTCTCGTTAGAATTGATTTTTTCAATATTTTCCTACTACTTGATGCATATTTTATCACTTACTTGCCTTGGCAACTTGCAGTTGAATTTATTAATTTGTAAATATTTGGCGATTCATCGATCGATTTATACTAATGTCTATCCTGATTGATGGTATTAAACATCACCTAATCTCACCATATTAGCTATATTAGTTAACATTATTGTGATATTGGAAAGTACAAGCGTAATCAGATTGTCAAGGTATAAAGGTTCAGGCCAAATAGTTAATGTCAAATGATTTGAATGACAAGTAAATGGTATTATACTGATGAAAGTAAAATTAATGACTTTCATCAACAAAAAATATATACTTCTCTCTATATATTTATACTAATAATATAAATAGTTGATGCATGAAGGTAAATTAGTATCAAGGGATTGAATGAAAATCAGAACCATTTTCACCATTGAACACCATTTCAATGTCTAAATCAAATTGTAATCAATTAAAATGAGTCTATTAATGGATAATTGATGAAATAACGATTCAACAATTTGATATCGCTTGACGGTTTCTTCAATTGAAAATGATTACAATTCTTAATGAACATTTCAACCATTTTGGTGATTAAATTTTCCAGTTATTTTGCATAAAAAACAAATTTTGTACCAGAAAAAGTGTTTCCTCATGTAATTCAGTTGATTATTTTTTCTCTATTTTTTGCCCTTCTAAATGATTGTGTTTGTGTTTATCAAATGAAGCTGTTTTACCGTGCATTTACATACCACTGTGAACCTGTAAATGTTCAATTATAACTTGATTGTGGAGTTAATCATTGATTCATCTCTTGTTTTTCCTGACGCTTTTCTCTCTTCTTTGATCAGGTTAAACATAATAATGGTCAAGTGAATAAAGAGTCAGCCATATGTTCAATAGCAAGTCCAGTTGAATATTTATTTGAAGTGGCAACCATTTGTTTCTTTGTCCTTCCCATGGGCATCATATCGATATTGTATATACTCATTGGAATCCGTCTTCGAAGAAGTTCATCTATAACCTCTAGAGCAGATTCAAATGGTGATCGATCACCTGATACTCACCTTCCTAATGGATCAAAAGATCCAACCTTGTACAATCAACAAAGTTATAAGCAACATTTAGATAAAAGAAGAGCGATAGTCCGAATGTTGGGTAAGTTCATCATTTAATTTACATTATTGATTAGCCTCCAACTTTAAATTCAATTTCAGTTTATTCAAGATTATATATTCCACCGGTCTGTAGCTTATGAGCCATTGATGCTTGAGTATTGAAAGTTTCAAAAATGATCTTTTCCATTGCAAAACATACGATCTTTATCTCGAACTCATTCAAAGTCATTTTCTGAAAGTGACATTTTTTCATTGAATAAATGACTTTTGTTCAAAATATATAAAATCATTGAAAAGCTTGAAGCTCAAACTTTGCTAAGGATAAATGGTTGGATATACAGGAGTTTGCTACATTTCACAGATTCAAAACAAATGTCATTAAGTCGATGAAAATTACGATTTGATTTATTAATACAATTAAATCAAGTTGAGACAAGGATTGCAGTCATGTTTCTTCAAATCGAAAAGATCATCTGTGAAATTTCCAGTGCATCATGAAATAGCAGCAACAATATAAGTTAAAACTAGAAATCAAAAAATGAAAATCCACTTTACAGGATTCATTATATTTTATTTTGTTTTATTTTATAACTTTTTTTGAAATGAATCAAAATTAGTTGAATGTTAACTGCAAATTAGAGCATTATATGAGCCTTTAAGTTGAAAAAAATTAATTGTTTTCATGCGAGTTATTGAAATGCTGAAGGCTATCTTGTTATTTTCAACGCTAATTTGATTAACTAATACTAGAGGAGGATATCCTCGGGTCTTCACTTTTTTATTGTATTAGCTATTAGATTATCCAAAATTAAAAACTAGAGCTGAACAGAATCAATATCGGAATAACTATACAATAGTTATTGACTGACTTACAAAAAAGGGATTTCAATAAATTCCCAGTCTTTTCAATTTTTTATCATTAACTTAAGGATATGTCTGAATTGTCAGTAATTAACAGTTTTAAGGGCATAAAAACCCAATTTAATTATTTCTATTTATGGATTGAAACTCAATTGAAACTTTATTATATAAATTTTCAAAGGATTCAGCAAACATAAGTCAGTTGCTATTTTAATTCATTTTGCGATGTTACCCGAACTTAATGATCAATTTGCAATTTGCAGCAAACATAAGTCAGTTGCTATTTTAATTCATTTTGCGATGTTACCCGAACTTAATGATCAATTTGCAATTTGGTCTCTGTTTGTATTTCATGTTGAATCAACTTTGAAATATCTTATGACAATCTTGTATCATCTGACCAACAACGGTATGAAATTTCACGCAATCATCTCAAGTAGTTTTCATTAAATCTATGTGGGCTGAGGTTCAATTAAAATGGATTGTTTAACAATAGGTAAATGGACACTTCAGCTTCTACTTTTCAGGTTAATTTTGGGTAATCCTATTCTTCAATTTACACAAAACAATCAAACCAATTTTGACTTATTTAAATTTTTGTTGATACCGATAACTCGACAGAAAATACTTGGTGCTCAGATTCAGTGATCAATGTTGACCAGTAACCTGATCAGAGAAATCTTATTAAAACTTGAACGACTCTTAACTTTTGATGCAAAAAAATCTTCAGGAATTCCCGATAAATGTTTTTCTCATTCAAAAGTTCGGGACTTTTTGCGTAAATCTGTTAATCGTTGTTATATCTTTATACTCAAATATACAGAATATTTGATTCGTGTTTCTAATGTTTCTCTTTTTTCTTTCACTTTAGTTGCTGTTGTTGTTTCTTTTTTCATTTGTTGGTCTCCTTTCCATGCTCAACGAGTTCTTGCCATCCATGTGGCTGAAAAATCACCCAAATTTGTCCAAACAACGCTTATTGTTTTAACTCATGTTTCTGGTATAACGTATTACCTGACGGCTACAATTAATCCAATCTTATATCAATTACTGTCATTGAAATTTCGCCTTGCCTTTCGAGACACATTTGGCTTTTGGCCTCCTTTCCTTAAACCCGACCATCTACCAGAATTATCAACCAGCATCGGTGGAGGAAGTCAGTTTGTACCAACATTGGGATCACTTATTACAGACAATAGTTCAGTTAAAATTTGTAAAAAGACTTTATCTACAAATGGTTCTTTCCATCAGATTCCATCTCCTGTTAGTCGTAAAGGTGGACTCAGCAGTAGAGGAAGTAATGGTTCATTTTTTAATGATTTACCCATTGAACCCAAAAGCCCAGGATCATTTGAAAATTGTTAAATAAAATATTAAATTAATAAATTTAAAACATCCATCCTTGTAAAGGAACAATCAATCACAAAAACTGTCTTCTTTCATCATCTTTTCATCTGCAAAAAAAAACAGTAAATCCGGATAAATAATGCTTGATATTTGTACACTTTGGATAAATCTTTGAAATTCAATGTGAGGTGATAAATTTTATTCAAACAGTTGTTTAAATTTTCATCAGATATGAGACAATGCGTCAGAATTCATAAAAACTTGACAAAAAAGATATTCAATAAATATTAATTTGTACTGGTTAAATTATTGATAGATATTTGGAAAGTAAACGAAATAATAACAGGACAATCACTTTTCATCTTCAAAATAAACTTAAAATTTGAAAATTAAATTAACGACGCAAAATTCAGCATGAACTTTGCTTAAGCATTGGCATAACGTGACTGTAGCCTTCAGTAGTTCTGTGTCCAACATGGTAGGTACAAAAATGCTTCAGAATAATTTCCAAATTATATTGAAGAGGATTAACCAAATGTAGGTGATAAGGTATGACCGGTAAAGTTTGTTGATAATTTCTGAATCGATTTAATTCATGAGTTTGAAAGGTTAATTTTGTTTTTGTGTCTGAATGATTATTTGATGATCTGAATGATTAAAAGTCTTGGACTTCTGCTTGGACTTTTTCTTATTATTCACAAAAGATACCACAAGATAGAACAAATCAAATTTTTTTCTCTTCCCATGCAACATATTGAAATCTTAATTTGGCAACTTTCTTTATGCAATTACTCTATCAAATAAGATTGGAACTTTCAGAGGGATTTTAGTTGAAGAATATTAAATGGATTCAGATATTCATTTGTCCAATTAATTCCTTAATTGTACAAAATTACAATCACCTCTTTGAAATAGTGGCTCCAATCCAAAGAGTAACAGCAATGTAAGAGTTATGCTCTTTGCTTCAATCGCCATCTGGTCAGAGAAATCTTGAAATGATTTGCTCTGAATTTAAATTGTTCAAATGTATCTGTTTCTTGATGAATTTAAATCTTTTCTTGATTTGGTAATCAGATAGACCTCTGAGTCGATTACACGATTTAAACGTGAAAAATTAGATTATCGACACAATTTCCTTTCTAAGAGTCATGAGAGAGTTTCATAGTCTTATTAACAAACTTTACCGGTCATTCCTTATAATATTTCTGCAAACTGTGATGAGACGGAATCTCGATCTTATGAGGATCAGCTCGTCTCAGTCAAGGTCCCATGACAAATCCTCACAAAGTCTCGCAAATCCATATCCTTTGGTAATTATCATTATTCAATTATTTCGACACTTTCATCTGAACTTGAATCATCAACCAAAGTCACTGTAGATGGGCTAGAGTTAGAGGAAGATGAGACAGAGGAACAGCTGTTTGCTCCATGACCAGTTAGATTCTCTAGAAACAGATTTTGACGAAATTCTTGGGGTAATTGGTGAAATTCGACATCACCTTCAATGAGTAAATCCAAATTCTTGACGATAGAGCCATCGAAATGGGTATTTCTTGAGACATTCAGCGCTTTCCTTTTATGTTCATTATACTGCTTTAATAAAGCAGAAATAGTAACCTTGCATTTGGGCTCTTCAGGATTCTTTAGGATATAATACACCTTTTGTCTGTCGATCACACCATTCTTGATCAGATTTTTAACAGGAAGATTAGCCTTTTCTCTGTTTGAACTGGCTCTTGGTGTCACTTTTCTTGTTTTTCCAGGATCCATGGTAAATTATAATTGATTGTTTGCCATCCCTGTAATTTCAAATGGAGAATCAGTTAAACGAAAGAATAATAAAGAAAGAAAAATAGGGGAAGTAATAAAAAATATAAAACAAGATGGCTTCAACAGAATGATTCATTTTTGAGGTCACAACTAAAATAATTATTTACCTTGGATTAATGATACTTGTATAATCTTGAATCATCAGGGAACTGTTTCTCGCAGTTTATGAGCTATTACGGCCCGAAGATGTTCTATTTTTTTAAATAGTTAATTTTGAAAAAATTACATCGACATTATTGGATGGCAATTAAAAATAACTGAATTTTGAAATTTTTTGACTGTCAATTTTGTTTACAGATAAATAAACAAATGAAAGCGCCGTCTAACGATGTTTAATAGAACTGTAAACCAGGATGTACTTGAGATTAATTTCATATAAAACTTGGAATCATTGGCCAATTTGACTGTCATATTTCCATGATTTATTTAATCCATATTTTATCGATAAAATTTGGACACATTTCTCCGGTATTTCCCTTGTTTTCGCCATAAATCATTCTAAATGAATTGAAAATTACAGAGTACAAGATGGATCACCGTCAATGTGATAAGATTTTAATCTCTATGATGTTGTGTCTTGATTCAGGTTCAATGATCTTTACTTGAACTATTAAACAGCAATAAAGCATCCAATGGCAGTCCGTTTCAAATCTTCAGCTTTAACACCATTTAAGCAGTACGATATCAATATGAATATATCCAGTGAATCTCATTGAAGTTAAGTTACCAGATGCGAAGGAATGAAAGATACGATTCAATGCTATGGGAAAAGGTGATATAAACGAGTAGATAATTGCTTGTAAGTGCTTGAGATTAAGTTAAACCATGATAAATTTATTACATTTTTCAGCTGACAATAACTTAATAACAGTCCTCGTTATGGTTAACAAAGGCAGCTGACTTAAATTGGCTTGACCCAAACAAGTCCATAGAGCTGAGGGTAAACATTGCTCTTTATACATGTAGTTGAGCTTGTCCACTGTTATCACACCGATTTACAGGCCTGTTAACTGTCCTAAAATGGACCAGCCAGTATCAACCAAATAAATTGAAAGACAAATCATGTGAAAAGATTCAAATTTTGATCCCATTTCTCTTTAGCCAACCGGAAGAATCCAATAGTAATGAAATAACACGATGTTGATGATGATATAATGGTGCTGATGGTGATAGTAAACTTGAATCACTTATTCAGCTCTAATCAGAGCCACAAAGTACAATTAAAAAAAATACATTTGAGTGAAAAAAACAGCAACAAAATTAAGAATGATGAGACAATTGAAAATAAACTTATTGGATAAGGTTGAAGATAAGCAGGATAATATACAAATTATGATAGAAACATAAACATTAACAAAAAAAATACGTATCACCCTGAAGGCATGATCTTAGTTCAATCTTCCGTCTTCATCTGCATTAACATCGTAATCTTTATCAAACCAAATAACCTGTACATATCCCATTACCTTGTACAGTCATATGTAGCACAATCTACATAGTTAACTGTAATGCGTTTTGTTGATTATTATTTCAATTGCAATCATCTATCCATGATTATTTTTTTTCACGCAATTTTATTTATCTTTTTATCCTTTTGATTAGCATTAATTAAATGATGATCAAATGATAATGAGTTAATAATTGGTTAATTTCATTCAAATGAGAATCAACTGAGTCAACAAAATTCAATTTAATGGAATTATTGATCAATTTTAGGTTGAACATAAAAGAGTTAGAAATTATTTGTTACAGTTGAGTTACAAAGTAGCATTAAATTGCTGATTTCCACTTAATTCATTAAGGTTGTTGGTTTAATTTTCATTAAATTAACTCTTAATTTATCGATGTATCGATTGTCAGGTTTGTACTTGAATCCTATTTGTATTCATCATCTATGGATCCATAGATCTGATATTCACTTTTCCCTCTCAATTTTTTCGTTGCTATTACCAATGATTTACAATTGCTAGTGGAATTGTTGCTCTTATAATTATTATTAGAACATTTATATTTAATAAATTGACTTTTTTATTTGTATTCAGTGTTTGTTCATTCAGAGTCGATAAAAAATCAACTTTTGTATGAACCGTTAGCTCAACATGGTTCTTTGATCGATTGTATAAATGTGTGAAAGCGTGGTTGATTAAAAAAACAAAATCACCTTTATTGTTATCATCATAGCCATTCCTTACATCATTATTATAAACATTACTTGATGCCGGTTCCAGTTAAAGGTAAGAATCGTTTTTTTTCCTTTCCATCTTGTTAACTGTTTCGAGTTTTATTTTTGATAAATTGGTAGCCTGCTAACTAGCAATCGAAATTTATTTGATCAAAATTTAAGATGTTACGAATACTACAATCGTGATACGTTTTAAATACTACTTATTCAACTTTGTTAATTGAAAAATAAAACTTCAACTACATATTAATCTTGGTCCATTTCAGATTTATTGATCTACCAAATGAATGAGTGAAAGTGAAGGTAATCCAATAAAATTAATTTTTTTATTGTTAGTAAACATTTCAAATCATTTATGATTGCTTACTTAATCTTTAATACAACTATTAAGTAGTTTTTGGAAGATTAAAACTTATTAAAATGTTGATCCTTCAATTTTCACCCGATCAACGATGTGTTTTGAATTTATGTATTATCAATATGATACTGATGATTATTCAATACTTTAACCAGCTTTTGAACTTTTGATTGTTACAGATTTCCATGATTTATGTACTCGAGTTGGCATCGTAATTGTGTCTCGACATGAACTCGTTTCAAATGGTACCAAATCAACTCTGTCCAAGATGTTACAATTTATGTGTAATATGATTTGAAAATAAATTGGGTCACCTTGGTTTTAACAACATTTCAGTAAATCTATTGGCTGATACTGCTGTAATTAAGTTACAAAAAGACAGTATTGAGTGGACAAAGATGGATTATTAAGCGAATGTGTAAATAATTGGTCAACTGATTTAGCAAAATTAACAAACAATGTAAAGTGTTTCAAACACCCTTGTTAATCATCATTACGAAAGATAATGCAATTTTTTGCAGCTTCAAACGACAATCATCACCAACAATGATAAACACCAACAGTTATATAATAATACAATAATCATAATATAATAAGACCAACAAAAACATCATCAGAAACAAGCAATAACAATTATTACAAGGAACCAGGAAGGAAAATAGAGAATGCCCAGTCCAATTAAATCAAATCATATTGAACCAGAGCAAGATGATTTAAGAAAGTTTTCTGAAGGACAAATTGACCCGAGTTGAATGATCACAAGTACGAAGCAAAATCAAGAAGATGTTGAACATTTTCAAGACAAAAAGCACCTTGAATTTCACCGTAATTTCACTTTCCATTTTTTTGTTTACATTTTGCAAATGGTTAGAAAGTGATTGAGATGATACTTATTAATACTCGTGTTAGCGTTGTTGTTGCTCATCATCATCAGCTAAACAGTCAACTCTTTTCCGCTTATTACTATTTTTGTCTTAACTTGATTACTCTCTCACTCATCATCATCAGGTTCTCAATTTGCCTTAATACGTACACCAAATATACTAATGTTTGATAGTAATATCTTTTCCCTTCGTGATCTTTTCATAAATTCAGTTGAATAATATGCTTTCAGTGGTCAGGAGGATCCTAATTACTATTTTCAGGCCACATCCTGATACTAATAGCAAACAAAAAATCAACTTTCACTTTAAACGGAAAAGATTTCACTTCGTCCTCCTCCTTCTTCATCATCTTCATCATCATCTTTAAATTTTTAATACTCTCATCCAGTTTTGTATCAAAATTATTCAACCAACAACTTTCTCCATCATTATCATCATCATCATCTTGTTCTTCTTTTTCTTTCTGGCCGTCTTTTCGTCTGGACATCTCTTCCTTCTGATACTCACTTTTATTCTCATCTTACTGTTAGCTTTATCTTCATCGTAGTAGCTCCTCTAAAATATTTTGACTTTCACTTTTCTGTATCTTGTTACCGGACATTTCACTATATCAACTTTTACCGTTAACAAGCATTCGATCAGAATATTTTTTTCTCATTTATAAATTGTAAAAATTGAATGGTCTCAAGATGAAAGTATGTTATTCCATTTGCTTATTGTTTTGTTGTTCATTGAAAATTTTTCCCAATTTTTTTATTAACTTTGCTTTTTTTTCTCTGTTAATTTCTGTTTTAGGCTACGATATGTTTACTTGTTTCGTTATCCGTAATTTTAGTTACGGAGGCTGGTCACAATCCCAAAATGAACGTTGACTTTGGTATCAATTTACCTTCAATGTCATTTAATCTTCCGGGTATGGCGATGCCAAAGATGAGGATAACTGCCGTTGTTAACAGATCTAAACCTAAAAAACCAATGAAAATTGAACTTCCAGCTATTAGTCTTCATGCTAAATCATTGGAAGATCCTTGGGGTCAATCAGGAGGAAGTGAATACTCAAGCGGAGGAGCTGGAGGCTATTCTAGTGAGGGTGGCTCTTATGGAGGAGCTGCTGGTGGCGGCGGTGCTTACGGTGGAGCTGCTGGTGGCGGCGGTGCTTACGGTGGAGCTGCTGGTGGCGGTTACTCTGCCGGTGCTGGTGGAAGTGATGGATGGTCCGATGGTGGATCTAATAATGGTTATGCTAGTGAAAATGATGAAGAATATGCATCAGAAGGACACTCTGAAGATGGATATGATGATGATAATGATTCTTATGAAACTCCAAAATCAGGATATAGTGATAATAATAATAATAACTACAATTCTGGTAATAACTATAACCAAGGAAATCAACAAAGCTATGGACAAGCTCCTGCTCAATCAAATGGTTATAATTCAGGATCAAATGCCCAATCTGGCTATGGACAAGCTCCTGCTCAACAAAATAGTTATGGTGCTCAATCTGGTTACAATCAGCCTCAACCCCAGGAATACGGTAATCAAGGTTATAATCAACAACAGAATCAATATCATCAACCACCACCTCAGTATAATCAGCAACCTCAGTACAACCAACAACAGAATCAATATAACCAACAACCTCAGTATAACCCACAACCACAGTACAACCAACAACCACAATACAATCAAAATCAGGAATATAATCATCAGGTTCTTAAATATGGTCCACCAAGACCCGATCAGGTATGTATTATATAAATTATTTCCTTTAATTTCAATCTAAAATCTTTCTCATGTCCTAATTATTAACTATTTTAGTGGAAACTGATTAGTTTATCTGATTTTTAGCAGCCTATCAAAAAAGTTTTTGTTTATTGAATTGTTGATCTGTTAATTATACTGTTATCCTCTCTCAACATATCAATCAAACATCCAAGAATGCATTTGTGTAGCTGATTTTGATTAAGAATTGCTGTTTTCATCAATCTATTTTTCTTCCTTTTAAATTAGGACTATGGCAATCAAGGAGCCAATTATCCACAACAGCAATCTGGTTATGGTTCATCCAATCAAGGTGGATATGGAAATAATCAAGGTTCCTATGGTGGTCAGGGTGAATATAACCAAGATAGTTATGGATCTAATGGTAATTATGGTCCTAATTATGCAGAAGGAAAGGAACTTTATGTTTATGGTCAAACACCCAAAAAAGTTCGCTTCTACGAAGATAAATATGCTTCTTCTGGTTATAATAATAATCACAATAATAACTATGGTCAAGCAAATCAAGCTGACTATTCAGCTAATGCACCAACTTCAGTGACACTCTCAACTGGTTATAAATCACAACCAGCCTCTAATCAACAGCAATCACCAAACAGTTCCTGGAAACCAGTGGCTGGTTCAAGTTACTATGGATATCAATAATTCAAAATTCATCTTGTACTTATTCTCATTTCATTTTTGCTTAAATAATTTTATAAAAATATCTGTAAAAATGATAAGAACACATTGTTATTTGTGATCAATTACATGAAAACTTTCACTCTCATCCATGTAACCAAATGATTTCTCATTTACATCTAGTTTATTAAATATAATTTAATATTCTCGTTACATTATAACTTAATCATTTCAACTTGCTTACAAAATATGCACAACTTTGATATTTTTTAAACTATTGAAAGCGTTCAATAATAAATTATGCTATAAAGGTATTTCTTAACTTTTGACAGGTAAATTAACTACTCTTGATTTTCAAGTTTTATGCAACTTAACATTAACTGTACTTAACGTTGAGCAACTTTTATGAAACCTACAAGTTTGTGCGCTGAACTATTTTTAATGAAGAATAATCAATATCGAGAGCAATTAGGAACACCAGTTTCAATAGAATGAGAAATAATTAATTTATCCAATTATAAAAGATATCTAAACTCTATTTTTTATTTTCACTCTAAACTAACAGAAACAGCAATTTATTTGTATTAATCACTCACTGTGTATTTAATTGTGATGGCAGGGGAATCCTCACAAATCAATGAAAAAGTGGTGAAATTAGATTCAACAAAATCTTGGTTCACAGAAATAGAAAACTGAAATCCTAATGTATTTTTATTCACCTTGTATTTGGCGCCTCATCTTTTTGGCATTGCATTCGCTTTCAGCTGATAATGTAGATGTATTTATTTATCCAAAACAAAGAGTAATTTAATTTCATGTGTTTTTAACTAAATAATGATGAATTAAAATAACTGATGTTACAGAAAGAAGACCTTTAGTTACAATATTATAAATTTTGCCTTTGTGATCTATGTCATTCTACTCTATATTACAACTTGTGTATCAAATCTTTCACATGTCAACTGTCAAACAACGATCTTTCATTGCTCTGTGATAAAACAACATAGAAATTCATCTAATTGATCACTGATTACTTGAATTGAAATTGATCATCGAAACTGTATCGTTTTAACCTTGTTATTCGGGACAGAGTTGGTCGCTATTGTCTTGTCCTAATTCTTACATATTTGTGATTACTTATTGTTCACAATAAGTTCATTCATCATGCCTCCTTCAACTACTTGGCTACAAAATGCTCGAAGTAATTATATGTTTGCTAAAACTTTAACCGAAAATTACCAAGACTCAGAGGAAGAACCTTACAGGTCTAAATATGCAGCCCGTACCAGATTGATGACTATGCTGGATGCAGTTGATAGATTTTTGGAAGAAGGTAATTTGGAAAATTACTCGCCGGTCCGTTTACTCAGTATCTTATTAAACTTGGAGATTGGTGTGATTGACCAGGAGACTGAAGAATTGTCCACAGGTGAACAACATTTGACCAAAGCAAAGGCTTTGTGTGAAGAATGGTATCCAGATGATAATCTTGTCATTGTGTTGCGATTGAATATCTTGAATCAATTATCTTACCTTTATACTATGCGAGCTGATTACGAAAAAGCATTATCTATTTTACAAGAAGCACAAGCTTATTTCGAGAAATGGACTACATTCAAGTCTAATATTAATGGAGAGGAAACTAAAAAAATAAGAACTGTTATTGAGTTTTTGGACTGTTTCGAGTACAACCTGAATGAAAAGGTACAAGATTCTAATGGAGAGGTAAATTTGGATAAGACATTCACACAAACTTTGTACTTCCTGGCTCAAGTTTATGAAAAAATGGGTGATTCCGCTAAATCAGCTGTATATTGTTACAGAACGTTGAAAAAACAGCTCATTCTTAATCATTATAAAACCTTAGAGTGGTGCATAAATACTGCTACATTATCTCAATATTTCGCTGGTATCGACAAATTTGGGATTTCCAGTCATCTTTTGAGAGTAGCAAAAGCCATGATGGACTCCAAGTTACCACCTAAAAATGATGACGATGAAGATTTAAAAAAAGGTCGTGCTGATTTTCAACGAATCATGGTTAAATATTACCTCATGCTGTTAGATTGCTCATCTCGTCAACACACTTCTGAAGAATCTGAAAAAACTAATGGACAAAAACCATTACAAGAACAGGAGAAAGTAGAAGAATACCGATTGCTTGAAGAAGATGAATTAAATCGAATGAGCTGTTCCCCTATCATTGATAAGCTGGTCGAATTTGGAAATTTTGACCAAGCCAAGGCGATTTTTGTTGAAGCTCAGAAATTACTCAATCTAGCCAAAGAGTATTATACTTTAAATGAGCATGCATCTGATTATGTCGATTGCATTCAAGATCATAGTAAATTATATCGTCACTTATCATCTTTTGACTTTGATGTTGATCGTAAATGTAAAATGTACAAAAGAAGAGTCGATATGTTGGAAGAAATATTGAAAGAAATTAATCCTAAACACTTCATGGCCCAATGCCGACAAATATGGTTCGAATTAGGAGAAGCGTACAATGAAATGTATGAGATGAAAGTCAGCAAAGAGAAGGACCAAGTTACAACATCAGCAAAGAAGTTAAACTCTTTATTGAAGAAATCAACCGAGCATTTCGTAGCATTCATTGATTCATTCCGTGAGAATAAAAACGAACCAATTCCACCAAAAGTTCCCGATGAAATGGTAAAACCACTGATCATAGCGTATTTCGGAGCTGGTAGGAATTACACAAAAATTCTAACAGCTGATAAAAAAGATGTGATATCCAATTGGAATAAATGTGAAGAGTTTTACAGTCAAGCTGTTAAATACATCGATAATAATCCTGATCAAAAATCCCAGGCTCAAATTGAATTAGATCTTATTCAAGAAATGAGAGAGCTCATTCCGAAAAGAATCATGATGATCGCAGGAGCTAATATGATGGCTTAAAGGATTCCTATTTATTCAAATTTTATATTGTTAGCCTTAAGTCTCCTATTTTCTGCTTAATCCTATTATCATTTTATCTAATGATTTTTTTCTTAAAGTGAATTTTGTATAATTACATTATTGTATCTAATAATCATTAATAATTAAATTCTTAACTTTTCTAAAGCTATTTGATGATTTTTAACTAATAGGATCCTACAAAAAATTGAGACAATTTGACCGTCGACATTGATAAATTAAGCTTAGGGAACTAATTACTGACCATAAAATTTAAGTAAAGATTAAAGTTTATTAACTGTTTAAAATGGTTACATGTTCAATACTGATATCCGAATTTTTGTAGACATGGATAGGCACTTGAGATAATTTTGGACAATTGAATTAAAATAAGTTTCAATTAAGTGTAACAGATAATAATTGGTGAAATATAATAGTTTTAAATTTGAATTTTCCCTTAAATTTTCAACATTGCAAACAATAATAAATGCCCAGTTTCCATTGACTCTCCGTTTGAGCCGTTTAGATAAAATTGATTAATGACTGCCAATAAGTAAATTAGGCCGGATCTGGTAAAATTGGTCGGTAATTTGAATATAAAGATAAGAGTTTCTTGATCAAAATAATCCAACTTTTTTCTTTAAATCTATCTGTTTCCATCTTGGTAGAGATTGAAATTCTTGAAAATTCATTCCAAATACTTGATTAAACTCTTCATTTGTCAGATAAACCTAGAGGAAGAAATAAAAATAGGTTAATCAACATAATATAAAATAATATGTAAGTCAACAATATATTGATTATACCGTTGAATGAAATAGGTTAATTGTTATGAAGCAAAAAAGTGAAAGCAGAGCATTTAATTGAAGAGGAATGCAAATGAAACCAATTAAACCATTACTTAATAGTGAAGCTTATGTTAAACTCTTAGAGCCCTTTTAATTACCTTGACTGTGCAAACAATCACTGAATTAATTGAAGCAATCAAAATAAATTAAAGCAAAATATAACAATAAAAAAAGTGAAAAAGGTAAAAAAGATTGCAAGCATTAAAGCAAACTCAAATCAATTTGCTGGTTAAATAAAAAAGCATTTGGTCTAACATTGGCTATAGCTAATGACTTTGTCGATCATTTGATCATCAAAAGATTAAGGACGAAAAAAATATTCAGAATTATCGATAAAAGTCAATAAATTGAGCATAAGTTGAATTAAATGCAAACTAGGACAGAAAATCGGTAAAGACGCTGAAAGTGATAAGCAATTTGGTTAAGTTGATGAAGCTAAGCATGATAAAGACTCTGTTGACAGTTCAACGTTTAACAAAAGCTTTTCAATTAATCAATAGGAAGAAGAAAGGAAAGATGAAAAAGATAGAATGAAAAGAGAAACAAGATGAGGTTAAGTCAGACCTCTTTTTTGGTGGGATCAACATCAGCAGGCAATTCCAAGGCATCTCTAACTCTAAGGGTTGATAAAGGATATTTAGCACTGCTATTGAAATCAACAGCCATGCAAGGAGGGACGCTATTACTTGTTACTAATTTTTTCAATGCTTTGACATCGGTTGAGGCAAGATCAAAAGTAGTGTCCCCACCATATCTATTTATCTGAGACCAATAATTGCGATCCCATGAACCAAAGAAACCGACAAAATTAGGTGGTTCCGATCCTTGTTTCACTATGACAATAGGAGTTTCCAAATCTCGTCCAGTTGGATCAGCTCTCAAGTAATCTTCTACAGTCTCAATTGTTCGATTTCTTTCTTCTGTATTGCTTTTTGATCCGATCCAAACGAAGATTGTATCCCATGTATCTAATAGCATAACATCTTCTTCAATCAAATCAGTTTGGTTGAAATCATAAATCTCTTCAAGATAAAAGTAGCCTTTTGAGTTGGAACATTGAAATAATCGGATTGGATGTGGAGGTTCACTTGATTCCAGTAATTTTTCTTGGGAATAAGCTTGTTGTCCACCGATGGCATCCCAAAAATCAGACTTTTCTTGGCCTTCTGAGACCGAGATAACTTCTCGTCCACCTAATCACAAGAAAAATCAACAAATACATTACTTTTGGTTGAAACTAAATTCAATGAAATTTATTTTCCAATATTTACCTTCATCTCGCTTTGCACATAATCTTGCCATTTCTCTTTCATCTCCAGTACTTCCTTTGCCGGCCCAGATGTAAACAGTACTTGGTGTAAACAGGACAAAAACATCGTTCGAATTGAGTGAACTGGCCTCGCAATCAACCTCAACTGCTCGAGTGACAAATTTATTGGTTCCTCTAACCTGAAGTAAACACCTGTCTTTAGTTGAATCACCAGTTGAAATTGCATATCTAAAGCCACTTTTGTGTCCACCTTTGTAGATTACCATTCTACCACCAAAAATCGCGGTGAAATGAGGTGGTTCTTTACCCTCACTGACTCGAACTTGAACGGCTGATCCATTAAAACGTTCGTTATCCAATTGAACAGTCATCATGGCTGCAGCACCTCGCTCATCAACAGACGAACAATTACCAATCCAATAATAGATAACATTGACTTTTGTTGCACTAGTGTAAACAATAATGTAACAATCACCGGAGAAAAAGTTTCCATAATCATTAGATTCAACTGGAACAAGGTCGAATGAACATATGCGAAAAATTTGTTTATCTCCAGATCCATCATCAAACATTTGAACTTCTGCAGCTAAAGATGGATTCTCGTGAAGTTTGGCAATATCAAGTTTATTTTTAGGCATCAGCTTTTCCAAATCTTTCAATGTAACCACTTTACCACCAGCAGAATAAGTTTTACCTAAACCAATAGTAGAATTAGCTTCATTCCAAGATTTAAATAACGATTTAAAGTCTATTGGTTCACCACCATCGATGACCCGAGTAACTGGAGTATGGTTGGGATAATTTTTCTTGATAATAAATCCTTGAGCATTTCTCATCGATTCTATTCTTTCTTTTGGTGTGGCACCTTTACCAATCCAAACCCATATTCCAGCGGATCCATTGTCGATTATAAAACAATCCTAACAACGAAAGAGAAGTTTGTAAATTGTCAATGAAATGCAAATTAAACAGTAGCATTGAGATTTTAAGCATAGTAATTTCAAGCAGACATTTCCGTCCCTGAATAAGCTCAAACCTTTTGAAATTACATGTTGCTTTGCATATCCGTTGACAAATTGGTGATATTATCGTTTAAATCAAAATTTAATCAACAAAGGTACCAACAGGAAACTTGTTAAATTGATTGAACACACAGAAGACGGAAATGGAATATTGGGTTAAGTAACCAAATTTATGGATCTAATGGTTAAGGATTGATTTGACATAGGGAAGGATCTGAGATTTTCATCAAAATATTTTTTTAATGGTTGATTTACCTGTGAGTTGAGATCTTCCTTTGATAACGGACTTGTATTAACATGAATGATCTTTAGGGAGCCGCTTTCATCTGAAACTTTGTATAATTTTAGAGAAGCTCTTTCAATTCGTTCATCCTCTTGATCATTCTTAGAACTACCAATTGAATCTTCCTTTTGTGACAATGGCAAATAGTTCTCAAATTCAGCTCTTTCAGTGCTGGATTTTGATTCAACTTCAGATCCATCTTCCATAATTACAATGCCATTACATTCTGGTCCATGCTCTGCTTTCAATTGTTGAGCTATTTTAGCTCCTTGAATTTTCTCCATGTAATTAGCCTGATTTCCTTGCCAGAGAAAAACTCTTACCACAGAGTCCAGAATAAATACATCACCGTGATTCATTGATGCCCACGAAATGGGAGTCACTTCACGAACGATAGGAATACGTTTTCCTTTGATGTGGAATAAGCGAGGTTTAGCTTGTTTTTCAACATGATTCAGTCCCGAAGCAACACCACCTTCAAGGATGGTTAATCCTCGACGAAAATATGATAAGAAACGTTTCGATTCATGACCTTCAACCTCGCGATGTTGAATCGGGTAACCTCCAAGGTGATCATCAAGTTCAACAGTTTTGTAAGCAGCAACAGCAGCCTCGTCTTGAGATGTTTTTGATCCTAACCAAAAGTGAATATGAATCTCAAGTGAACCATCCTTCACTTCTTTCGGTTTCATTCGGGAATGGCCACCTTCCTTGCCATCATTACCCTGAAATAGACGTAAAAAAGTCTCAATCCTTTTATCTTTACAACTACAATAAACCAGATGACAATTATTAAATCAATGAAAATATTGCATCGAATGATTTCAATAAAAAAGTGTAGCACTATCACCCTTCATCATGATATACACATCCTTGTGTGCATTACAGTCCATATTTAGTGAACACAAAACTTTCAGGGGATAACAAATAGATTAGATGGATAACTGACTTGCCATAGCAAAATTTGTGTTAAAAAGACCGGTTGTTGCAACATTGTACTTACACAAATAACGATGTAAGAATCTCCATTATAAAAGGTTCCATACTGTTCTTCAGGTACTGGGACAACCTGCAATTTCTGGTAAACAATTATAAAGATATTGTTGATTAATGATATGAAGTAAAATGCGGTAAAAGGTCTATTAAATGGGAAAAAGCAACTTACCTCTATCCGCCATACAAGAAAAAACGTCTGATGAGTGGGTATAACTTTAAAAGCAGGGTCAACAATTGTAGACATTTTGACAAACCGGTCAACACGTAGATAAATCAGCAAGGCTTTATGATTTTTATTGGATGCTAGTGATAACAGTTACGATCACTGTCGGGAATCTGATTGAATAACTGATGATTTGTTATGAGGTTTGACAAATGGGTTAATATCTTGTACCAATGTTTATGAATGAATGATGAAACCAAGTTGCTAGCTGATTTTATGAGGTGGAGAGTATCAACTGAGTCGAATTATGATGTAGTCAGGCGAAGGTTGGAGTTAATTTTATGGACATAAATTAGTAATCAACTTGGCCACTATATCAATCAGAATCAACTTTTTCCGAGGTAAAGTTTAGTCAAGTTAATCAGAAAAAACAGCATCAAATATATGGTAATGAGGAATGTTCGACATTTAAGAAAATGGTGAAAATAAAATAACCAACCATAACATAAATAGAAACAAACTTTATCGATTATTGTATACAATTAAGTTAAACAAGCTAAAAATTTCCTGTAATTTATTGAAAGTTGAAAATACTTTAAAGTTTTGTTTAGTTCAACTCATTGAGTTGAAACAAAATATTTGACAACTTATCTGTATGAATAGGACTTAGAGTTATTTCCACAGCAAAAAAATGGTAAACAAACATTTCATTAACATTGTAAGATGATCTTAGAGCAATCAAATTATTGTGAAACTATTGATTTGGGCTGGTTTCTGGGTTGGGTTAGGTTCGAAAAAATCGACTCTTGAGATTTTACATCGACACACAATTTCAATCATCTCCACTTCAGAACGAAATGGTTTCCAGCTCAGTCTGAACCAATCAACTCAAGGTTAGTCAATGAGATAAACAAACATTTGATTGCTTACGGTTCTCTAATTGCTTGAGTTGTTATGACCATGTTCAAAATTAATGATTACATCATCTCCAATGTCATCATGCATATAGTTATGAATGACAATTTGTTTGTTTCGTGATCTGCATTTATTAAGATTGGGAAGGATTTTCTGGTAAAAGTAAAGAGCAATAAGGTTTAAGTTCATATTTATTGTAACTTAAAAAAATTCAATGATTTTCTCCCTTCATAGAAGGTTAAAATTATTTCAATAAATATTCTATGTATATTATTTAAATTAATTTAAATCAACTATTTAATGCATAGGACCATTGATCTTCAAATTGGAGAGAACGTCTATCATCAATGGAATCTAAATCACGAGCCAAACGTTCTTGAGCATCTTTGTTGAATATTTTCTTCTTCAGTCTCTTCCTTGGAGTATCATCACAGGTTTTGATATCTTGCAAAGCTTTAATTTTCACTTTGCTCTTGGATTTACCCTTTCCTTTTTTATTGACTGTCAAATCAATACCAATTTGTGCTTCCAGATCTTTTAAATACTCTGGATCTTGCCAGTCAGGAACATCGGACTGTTTTTCTTTGGTTTCTCTTAGTTTGTCTTCCTCATTAAGAGGCTGACCCACTTCATCACGAGGAATTATTAATCCATGAAATGGACATTTTCGGGCATCTCTTCTAGGACATAGTTTACCATTCCGTAAGGGAGCTTTACACATGGGACCAGAAAGGCTTCGAGAAGAACAAGGTTGATCAGTTGGTAAGTCTTCATCGAGACCGTACTCTTTGCGACGATGTTGGGGAATAATTGTCTCTAATCCTTCCTTGTCCTCAACTTCTTCAAATTCCTCATCCTCTTCACTAGAACTATCATCACCTTCTTTACTATTCTCTCTTGAACTATCACCATTAACTTCATTTTGATCTTGTTCGTCTTTCTTAACTATTTTAAGTTCAATAAACTTTTGAATGGCAGTCATGAGTTGGTTTTTAAGATCGATTGCTTGTTTCATTTCGTTCTTGCAAAACTCAGGTCCCTTGGCCATTTCTTTGAGAGATGATTTAATTTTTGGTAATGAGGAAGACACAATATCATGGTAAACGTCTTTTAAATTCTGGATTAAATCTTCATTCTCGGAATTTTTAACGATCTCGATATATGGACGAACTACAACAGGAACGTCAGATCTAGTGACTGTTAAATGAGTTGAAACTTCTGAAAGGTCCTCCTCACTGCAAATGAACAATTTTTAAACAAGCATAAATTAGAAAACAATTTCAATGATATCGAACCAATATTTACCTAAAAATATCTTCTTTTTGGATACCAGGATAAAGCAACTGGAAACAATTCAATATTTGAGCTAAATGTGATTCACAAGATTCTTTGATTTGACTGAATTGTTCATTCACAATATCCATTTCTCTTTTCAATGAGACCACTTCTCTCTCTCTTTCTGCTTCTTGGGCCACTCTCTCGTTTTGTTGGACTATTTCTCTTTGACGAAAGTTGATACAGTTTTGAGAATAGTGAGTGTATAAGCTTCTCAGTGATGCATAGCCGTCCTTAAATTTATCATGCCAACAATCAATGCATTCTATGGATTTTTTCTTTAATTCTTTAGCCCAAGCTTTAGGTGGAGGTAACGGCTTATCTTCATTAACACCAAGAGTTGTTTCAATGAAGCTATTCAAGTTATCATGGCGAAGAAGCAGAGTGCGGAATCGATGTGATCTTTTGAACAGCTCATCAATCAACAATAAAGAGCAATAACGTATTTGCGAATGCTTACGAGATGATTGAAATATTAACATATGAAATATTTGCTCAATAACAGAGTCACCTTCTTCTTTACATATTAATTTCAACTTATTCCATGCCTCTGGGTCAAGATCTTTCCTTCCACTTGTGGTTAACTTTTCAACCAAAGCTCCAACTTCCTGGTGATTAGCCATGAGACGTCAGAGGAATCGACATCAATTGAAATGTGACAAAATCTAACGCAAAATTTAAAATTAAATCAGAGAGATATTTTAGCAACAAATTATCTGGCTATAGCAGGATAAAAGCCAATGAAAACAAAAAAGACTTACCATTAAAAATGCTGTGGGAATAATGCTCAAATTAAAAAATTAAAATAGGGCGAAAAATTCATAAAATATCACAACAAAACTTGAATCATTTAAAGAGGATTAAGTAATATTTATAAGATGAAAAACGTAAACAATGTTGCTGAGAGGTGATGAAACATATGATGGTGTAAGAATGAGTCTTGGATGACTCACACTTTACTCTAAACTTGAGTCTCAAGTTTCAAATTATCGATGGTTGAATGTTTCGATTGTATCGATATGCCAAAATATTATTATTGATGTAAATAATTGTAAGTGAATCAATTTAAATAGGCTATTTTAAACTGTCAATTGAACACTTTAATGATTAACTAGACCAGATTATACAGAAAAAATAATTGTAATAAATAACCAAAGGGAGCTGTGAGCTGAGGTGGTCCGTCTAAGATCGATAATTATGGTCTGATTAAGATATCAAGGATTACATTTCTTTCAATATCGTAAACTTTACAGCTGGAACAAAAGTTGAATACAAAGGAATCGAAAATTATGTTATCATTTTCATTTCTAATCATCTATTGGATCCAAAAAATGAGGCAAATCATTGAAACTTTTGAAAAAACAGTGTTCCATGAAATCAAATCCACGACAAATTTGTTCTGGTCGATTTAATGACTGCGGATAATCAATTTCAATTTGTTTGTCGTCTTTCTTGAAGTAAAACTTGATTGATCGGCCATACCGCTTACAATAATCCTGAACAAAATTAGCAGCGTCTTGAGTGACTCCAGGAGATTCACGAATATCAAGTAGAGTAAGTTTTGGCAAAAGCAATATTAATTGTTTGATGTGGTCATCTTTTAGGAAGGTTCCTCGTAATGCCAAATGCTTTAGATTTGGATATTTGGACATTAGTCTGCGTAGATCATCCCATTCGATTGGTTGACCCTATTAGAATAGAGAAAAGAGTCAATTTTTTAAGATGCGAATAATAATAAGAGTAACATTTGAATAACAATTGCGATAAAAAAAGTTGTTCCAAAATATAAATAACAGTCGACAGATCAAAGTCTATCTCCTAATTGAGAAAAACGAATGGATATCGAATAATAAAAATTACAATGAAAAAAGTTGCTATGTGAATCTCTAGCAAAATCCTACTCACAAATTGTATGACCAAATCTTGTAGGTTTGCATTTTTTACTGAATCATTGAAGTTAATACCTGCATGAGCGCTTAGATAGTTGATATGAGCACTTTGTAATGCTGGACATAAATCCATGACTGCAAGTGAGTCACGAAATTCTTCCCAATCATACAGCCTGTAAGAAAACACCAGCAATTCAACTATCTTAAGATTTGCCATTACTGGACCATAAGCGTAATGACCTGCTCTGACTAAACATGAAAAGATAAGGTCGGTCAAGAAACAATTATAAAAAGATAATAAACCTTCGATTTTTTGCAAAAGAGTTACAATGACTGATGATTATTTCAAAATAACCGGTCAAAAAATCATCAATTTATTCCAAAGTTTTTAAAAAATCGAGAATTTTTGGTAAATAGAAATTACCTGCAAGACAAAAAGTAATATTTAGCCTTTCAAGGTTTGGGAAAGTATGTGCCACTTCCATGGGTAGATATCCGCTATAAGTCGACAGGCACAATTGTTTCATATTTTCATTGATTACACTTGTGGCTACAAACTTATAATCAGTAAATAACATTTCGAGGTTAGCATTCATCAGTATCCGTGGCAGATCGTCCAGGCAAACCCAAAAGGAGCACTTATCAGCGATTATTCCTTTCAAAGATTTTGAATCTCTGATTATTTTATCTGCTACATCGATTGATATTCCTTTACATGTGCAAAAGTCGACAATCTGCTTTGATGAGATTTGTATAAATAATCAAAGTGCAATAATGCCAAATCTGTCAACTTACCCTTAAATTTGGAAACCATTTGCTAAAAAATGTTACATCAAAAGGCTCATCTGATTGATGACCAACAGAATCAGGCGAATTATTTGGTCGGCCTAAAAATAACAAGTGATTTCATTAAAAAAATGGTTCACGATTAGAATGTGCATTAATCAAAAGTAAATCTTACCAGTAAAATATTTAACTTTTTTAGTCCGGACAACAACCAAATTACGCCATTTTTCGCAAACTGTAATTGGAATTAGTCAAATTATTATCAACTGAACGAAACATAACGTATCTTGGGCTAACTAACAGTCTGATATGAACCATATTCATAACAGGATGGCAAAAGAGGTTTCAATAGAAGTTGCAAGTATCATAACTATAATATTAGCATCCAAATAGCGCGCTTTTACAGTCAGACGATGCACAATAATCACCACAAGGTAACAAACGAGGTTTTAATAAAACCGTTTCTTTCGCATAAAAGTTTTACATCATTCATCGGATTGTGATTTCAATTGATAGCAATAAATTATTCCAATATAATCTGATTTCCCTCACATTTCACAATTTACATAAGTAACATGATTTGCACTTACCTTTGAAGCAGTTTACTAAATCCGTTAAATCTTGTATGCAATCAAAAATAGTCAGCAAACAATCATCAGGAAGTTCATTTATTAACATTGTTAAATCAATTTTAAAATGGTAACTCTAACAAATAATAAACAGCATAAACAAACAACAAAGTAAACAACTTTAATCTTGAAACTCTAATCAATCTTTAGTTGAAACTAGTGCTGGGCGAATTTTAAAATTAAAATTAAAATCGATGCTTATCGATATTTTCTGGATTTAGTGGTCATCGATTATCGAGATATATCGATGTTTTTAATTCTCATAAATCCCCTCTTACCACGATTTTGTAAACGTGGAAAACGTCGTTTTTCGACCACAGATTGCATTAATTTTTTGAGATTCACGGTTCACAGATTTACTGATTCAAGATTTATATTAAATTAGATTTATGTCCTTGTATTATACATTTACATACAATTAATATATTACTTTGTATGCTTTATATTCACCCTGAACTGTAACAATAGCCACGGCTAAAGAGGGTGGTATTAAGCCACTCAGCCGTATGGCTTTAGGTGGACTCGAAAGAGCCTGGCCATTCTTCACCATGCTATTCAAGCTCATTTTGGTGTGTTTCTACGTTTTTTGGCTCTAGGTTTTTACGTTTTTACTTGATAAGTTAGCAAAGATAGTGAAGATTTTAAGGATTTGGGATTTTTTTGCTTCAAAATTATCTATTTAAATCATTATCCTTAAGTTATCGATATCGTTAGCATTAAATTATCATCAACAGGTTAAATCGGATCTTCGATCCTTCAAGCGATGGAACAGATTTTATTCAAAATAGAGCTACTCTCGAAGTTAAATGCAATTGAAGAATATGCGAACAAATTTAGATACAATTTTAAACTATCGATTTTTGGATGCTTCCATTGTATGGATATGCCAAAATATTTATTAATATAAAAAATTATAAGTGAACCAATTTAAGTAGGTTATTTTAAACTGTCAATTGAACACTTTTAATGGTTAACTAGACCAGTTTATACAGGATTTCATATAAGATGTTAATCATCTAATGGATGCAAAAAATGAGGCAACTGATTAAAACTTTTAAAAAAACAATGTTCCATGAAATCAAATCCACGACAAATTTTGTCTGGTCCATTCAATAGCTGGGGCCAATCAGATTCAATTTGTTTGTCGTCTGCTTTGAAATAAAACTTGATTGATCGGTCATACTGCTTACAATAGTCCCGAACATGATCAGCAGCTTCTTGAGTGACTCCAGAAGACTCACGAATATCAAGTAGTGTTAGTTTTGGCAAAATTAATATTAATTGTTTGATTTGTGCATCTTTTAAAGAGGTACCTCGTAATGCCAAATTCTTTAGATTTGGATATTTGGACATTAGTCTTCGTAGATTATCCCATTCGATTGGTTCGTACTATTAAAATAAAGATTTTTTGTTAGGATTCTTTAAACTATCGCTATTTAAATCTGAAGCGAAATCCTACTCACAAATTGAATAACTAAATCTTGTAAATTTGCTTGTTTTATTGAATCATTGACGGTAATGCGACAGCAATCAATTTTGACATAAGCACTCTGTAATGCTGGGCACGAATCCATGAATACAAATGAGCAACAAAAGTCTGTCCAATCATAAGAAGACAACCCCAATTCAGCTATCTTAAGATTTGCCATTACTGGACCATTAGAGTAATGATCTGTTCTGTCTAAGCATGAAAAGGTTGGTCAACAAACGCTTAAAAAAGGTGATAAAGTAAACCTTCGATTTTTTGCAAAAAGAGTTACCTGATGATTATTTCAGAATAACCGATCAAAACTTACTCATAAAAATCATTAATTGACCAAGTAGCAATAAAGGATCAAATCAATAACAAAAATTAAAATTCTCGGTTAAAATGTGTAGCTAAGTTAATCTGTTTGTTAGTTCTTGCATAAAATCCTCGGTTTTTAAAATGTAATTATAATACCTTCGCCATTATAAATTTTCAGCCGTTCAAGATTTGGAAAATGATGTGCGACTTCTGCGAATACATCTAGAGTAGAGTCCCAGAGGTACAATTGTTTCATATTTTCATTGATTTCCTTTATGTTTAGATCAATATATCCAGTAGACAACATTTCGAGGTTAGGGTTCTCCGGTATCGATTCGAAATCGAGGCAGGATTCCATACAGTAATGACAACCATAGATTATTCCTTTCAGCGATTCTAATTCTCTAATTATTTTAATAATATCTTCGATTGGTGTTTCCCCATTGCGTGTGTATAAAAGATCGACAATCTGTTTTGATAAGATTTGTATAAAAAATAAAACTTTTAAAAACGAAAGTGAATCAATATCAAATCTGTCAACTTACCCTTAAATTTGGAAGCCATTTGCTCAAAAATGTTACATCAATTGGCTCATCTGTTTGATGACAAACTGAATCAGGCGAATAATTGGGTTGATCTGAAATTAATAATTTATTTTATTAGGAAATGATAGAATGAGCATTAATCAAAATTTAAATCTTACCAATAAAATATTTAACTTTTTTAGTCCGGACAACAATCAAATTACTCCATTTTTCACAAACTGTGTTTGCAGTCAAGTTAATATTAAATTAAAATAACATAAATAACTTCAAACTGAAAATATCCAAATATTGCGCTTTAAAAGTCAGATGATAAACAATATTCATCATGGAATAACAAAAGAGGCTTGATTCATATAAAAGTTGGATACAGTATTTAACGGATGGTATTTTATTGTGATTTGATTTCCACATCTCTCACATTTCACAATTTGAATAAATAGCATTATTTACACTTACCTTTGAAGCAGTTAATTAAATCCTTTAAATCTTGAATGTAATCAAATATTTCCAGAAAACAATCATCTGGAAGCTCATTTATTAACATTGTTAAAGTAACTTTGGAATAATAACTTACATTGATTGATATTTAATAAATCTATAATAAGTGTTAGACAAACAAAAACCTAGGATATTTTGCATTTACGAGTACAGACATCTAACGTCAAAAAAAATATTAGAATGATTTTTAAAAGTTTTTTTTACGATGTCGGTAAATTACGGTAGCACACGAAAGAATGAGCTCAACTTTTGGGCCAAAGACTTTGACTCATATAATTTTGTTCAATTTTTAGCAAATGCAAATTATCAGAGGTTTGGTTGTATCAAAGCTAGTCGACTCAGTCGAAATGACACTTGGGTGGCTTAGCCATGTAAATGACTCTAAAAATTTTTTCAATATCGTGAACCTCACAGCTGTTCTCATAAAAGTTGAGTAAAAAGATCGACAGTTATGTTATAATAAGCATTTCTAATCATCTATTGGATCCAAAAAATGAGGCAAATCATTGAAACTTTTGAAAAAACAATGTTCCATGAAATCGAATCCACGACAAATTTTTTCTCGTCGATTTAATGCCTGCGGCCAATCAGATTCAATTTGTTTGTCGTCTTTTTTAAAATAAAACTTGATTGATCGGCCATGCTGTTTACAATAATCCTGGACATGATTAGCAGCTTCTTCAGTGACTCCAATAGATTTACGAACATCAAGTAGTGTTAATTTTGGCAAAATTGATATTAATTGCTTGATGTCTTCATCACTTAAATACTCATTTCGCAATGACAAATGCTTTAGATTTGGATACTTCGACATGAACATGGGTAGTTCCTTCCATTTTCTTGGTCTAAACTATTAGAATAGAGAAAAGAGTCCATTTGTTAAAACACTATGCGATTAAATAAAAATTACGATGAGAAAACATTGTATGTGAATCTCAAGCAAAAGCCTACTCACAAATTGTATAACCAAATCTTGTAAGTTTGCATTTTTTACTGAATAATGGGTGAGAATGGGACCGCAATCAATTTTGATATGAGCACTCTGTAATGCTGGACACAAATCCATGAATAGAAATGAACTGCAAAATATATGATGCGAACGAGAAGAAGACCCAGCCAGTTCAACTATCTTAAGATTTTTCATAACTGGACCATTAGAGTAATGTTCTGCGCTTCCTAAACATGGAAAGGGTTGGTTAACAAACAATTATGTAAAGTCACTGAAATATTATATGAAATTTTGATAAATTATGAAAATACCTTTAGAAATTTTCACCCTTTCAAGATTCGGAAAATAATGGGCCACTTTTTTGAATGCATCTAGAGAAGAGTTCCAAAGGTTCAATTGTTTCACAGTTTCATTGCTTACAATTCTGTTCGGATTAATAAATCCGAGAGATAGCATTTCGAGGTTATCTTTTTGAGGCATCGATTTGAAATTAAAATATTCCCCACAGATTATTCCTTTCAAGGATTCTGAGTCACTGAAAAGTTTTTCGATTGGTGATTTTTCTCAGCTAGGGATAATAAGTTTAAGTCGTCAATCTGTTAAGATAAAATTTGAATAAAAACTATAAAAACGATGAAAGCGGAGTATAATCAAATAAAAAATATCAAATCTGTTAACAAACCCCATTTTGAAACATTCTGACTAAATGATTAAATGCTGTGGATAAGTCGTCTGTGGATAGTTCAGCGATATCTCCCTTTGGTGTTTTTTCAAAAAATGGGTGTGAAAAGTCTAAAATCTGTAATGATATCATTGTATAAAAAATAAAAAACAATGGAAGTGAAATAATGTCAAATCTGTCAACTTACCCTTAAATTTGGGAACCATTTACTCAAAAATGCTACATCAATTGGCTTATTTGATTGTTGAGAAACAGAATCAGGCGAATTTGGTTGGTCTGAAATTGATAATTAATTTTATCAGAAAAATGGTTAACAAGAAGAATAAGCATTAATGAAAATTTATAAATCTTACCAATAAAATATTTAACTTTTTTAGTCCGGACAACAATCAAATTACTCCATTTTTCGCAAACTGTAATTATTAATTGTCAAATTACTACATGTATTATATTAGAAAAACATGACTTCAAACAAGCAATAATTTTATATCCAAATAGCACGCTTTTACAGTCAAACAATAAACAATATTCATCACAAGATAACAAACGAGGTTTCAATGAAACAGTTGCTTTTGCATACAAGTTTTACATCATTTATCGTATTGTGATTTCCGATGATATTTATAAATTATACTTATTGTAATATATACAGGAGTGAGCTTTTGAGTCAAGTTGAGGCAATTTTCTCCGTCACTATCTATGGGATTTAATTGTTTTAGATTATCTAATTTTTAAGTTTCATAACAAAAATAATAGCTGAGCATCGAAATCACTAGATGGCGACTGACAAAAAAGCTCCAATCTTAAGATTGCCTTAAACGATTACTCCTGTGTACATAAAGGTGTTACGTGTAAGAATTGAAAATTATCTTGATCTGATAGAAATGAAGATAAGATGACAATGATGAGAATGCGACAGAAAGAGAAGACACAAAATGGACATTCTTATCAGTGTCATCTTCATCTTCGTTCTTATCAGAGCAACATAATTTCCGCTTCTAACGCGTTACACCCTTTAGTAATTAGATTTCCTCATTTCTCATATTTCACAATTTAAATAAATAGCATGATTTGCACTTACCTTTGAAGCAGTTTATTAGATCTTCTAAATCTTGAATGTAATCAAAAATATTCAACAAACAATCATCTGGAAGCTCATTTATTAACATTGTTAAATCAATTGTAAAACGGTAACTCTATGAATAAATAACTTTAATTGGTAAGGCTTTACAAAGGCGTTAACACTAAAACATATGGAGAGATTTCTTAAAAATCACACTTTATCTAACCAATTAAAAAACTAAGAAAGCGCAACAATGGTATAAATAAGATTCGAGGTTTTTGACTTGATTCGAGAAACACTAACCTTTGTGGAGTCAACTTGAATTGTTTTGCAAACTCGATTCCTGTTTCTATAATATTTATCTTCTTCTGAACCAATTTTCTGATTAAAATTGAAAGGCATTAAACTGTTGAAAAATCTTCATTCCACATCATGAAAAAACCATCTTTTTCAAAGCTGTAAAAGCTTTCAATGCTCGAGAAAGCATGTTTACTATTTTCTTTAAAATCACTCATATTTCCATGTTTTTTTCTCGTGTTTTTCATCTTTTTATTCATTGTATTCATCCAGTTTCATGACCATCGAAAACAACATAAAAAAGGATAAACTTTTTTGGAGCAAAGTTTAAAGTTCTCTCCATATGTTTTAGTGCTAACGCCTCAGTCCGAAAAAGTAAAGCCTTACTCTTTAATCTTACCAATTTCTAGTTGCAATTATGATAAGAATTAGAAACCACAGCACGTCGACTTACAAGGGAACTATTTCGGTTACCTAACACCGATTTGAATGAGTTTGGTGTCATTCGATAGAGGACAATGAGTTATGAAAAACTGTCGAGGGTTTCATCTGTATGGGAAGTGGTTCCTAAGATATTTGGGTTTGAAATTCGTGCATGTTGAATGAACTCATTTTTAAAATTCAAGTTATTATCTAATAAAGGTTAGCCTAGTGGGTAAAGGAGTAGGTGAAAGTATGAAGGTTTTGGGTTCGAATCCTGGTTACTTTTTTGTTGTCAATTGATATGAATGATTCATAAATTTTAATTGAAATTTTTTTTATATTATTAATTGTGTCCAACTATAACAATTATTTCAAAGTATTTAATCAATTGATCTTAATTAAAAAAATTTCTCAAAAATTTCAATTGTTTTGGCAAAATCAATATTAATTGCTTGATGTATTCATCACTTACATGGGCACGTCGTAATGCCAAATGCTTTAGATTTGGATATTTTGACATTAATCTTGGTTTGCACTATTAGAATAGATAAAAGAGTCAATTTGTTAAGATGCGAATAATAATAAGAATAAACATTTAAATAACAATTGCGATGAAAAAAAGTTGTTCCAAAATATAAAAAATAGTCGACAGATCAAAGTCTGTCTCATTATTGAGAAAAACGAATGGATATCACATAATCAAAATTACAATGAAAAAAAATTGTTATGAGAATCTCTAGCAAAATCCTACTCACAAATTGTATAACCAAATCATTGAAGGTAATATTATCGTTTTGATAGCTGATATGAGCACTTTGTAATGCTGGACATGAATCCATGACTTCAAGTGAACAACGAAAGTCTTCCCAATCATCAAGAATCATCTATTGGATCCAAAAGATGGGGCAAATCATCGAAACTTTTGAAAAAACAGTGTTCCATGAAATCAAATCCACGACAGATTTTTTCAGGTAGATTTAATGACTGCGGCCAATCAGTTTCAATTTGTTTGTCGTCTTTTTTAAAATAAAACTTGATTGATCGGCCATACTGCTTACAATAGTCCCGAACATGATCAGCAGCTTCTTGAGTGACTCCAGAAGACTCACGAACATCAAGTAGTGTTAGTTTTGGCAAAATTAATATCAATCGCTTGATGTCTTCATCACTTAAATGTGAATTTCGTAATGCCAAATGCTTTATATTTGGATATTTCGAAATGCATCTTGGTAGTTTACCCCATTTGGTTGAAAAATACTATTAGAATAGAGAAAAGAGTCAATTCGTTAAGATGCAAATACCAATAAAAATAACAATTGCGATGAGAAGAAGTTTTTGCAAAATATAACACTCCACAGATCAAAGTAATCTGATAATTGAGAAAAACGTATTAATATCGAATAATAAAAATTACAGTTAAAAAATTGCTATGTAAATCTCTAGCAAAATCCTACTCACAAATTGTATAACCAAATCTTGTAAGTTTGCATTTTTTATTGAATCATCGATTTTAAAATTATCATTACCATTGATGATATGAGCACTCTGTAACGCTGGGCATGAATCCATGACTTCAAATATACGGCAAGGGTCTTCCCAATCATTAGAATTCAACCTCAATTCAATTATCTTAAGATTTGCCATTACTGGACCATTAGAGTAATTATCTCCGCTTTCTAAACATGAAAAGGTTGGTCAACAAACAATTAAAAAAGATAATATACATTTGATTTTTGCAAAAAAAGTTAAAATGCCTGATGATTATTTCAAAATAACCGGTCAAACGATCGTTAATTGATTTAAAAGTTTTAAAAAAATCGAAAATTTTTTGTATATAGAAATTACCTGTTACACAACAAATATTTAGCCTTTCAAGGTTTGGGAAAGTATGCGCTGCATCTTTGGGCAGAAATGTATTAGGGTGCGGGAGGTGCAATTGTTTCACATGTTCATGGATTAAACTTGTATCGAAAAACAATAATTCAGTAGAAAACATTTCGAGGTTAGCATTCATCAGTAACCGACTCAAATCGGCCGACCCAATCCAAAAGAGGACATTGATTGAGGTGATTGTTCCTTTCAAAGATTCTGAATCTCTGATTAGTTCAACTGCTTCAGCGGGTGACATGTCTCCACATTTGCAAAAGTCGACAATCTGTTTTGATAAGATTTGAATGAAGTAATCAAAGTGAAATATTGTTAAATCTGTCAACTTACCCTTAAATTTGGAAACCATTTGCACAAAAATGTTACATCAATTAACTCATCTGATAGATGACAAACAGAATCAGGCAAATTATTTGGTCGGTCTGCAAATAACAAGGGATTTCATTAGAAAAATGGTTCACGATTAGAATAAGCATTAATCAAAAGTAAATCTTACCAATAAAATATTTAACTTTTTTAGTCCGGACAACAATCAAATTACACCATTTTTTGCAAACTGAAATTGAAATTAGTCAAATTATTATTATTAATAAATGGACAAAACATAAGGTATCTTGGGCTAACTAAAAATATCCGAATATACCGCTTTAACAGTCGGATATAACCCATATTCATAAAAGGATAGCAAAAGATGTTTCAATAAAAGTTGGAAGTAGAAATTTGTCATTACTATAATATTAAATCAGCAAAACTTGACTTCAAACAAACTATAATATTAGCATCCAAATAGCGCGCTTTTACAGTCAGACGATACACAAAATTCATCACAAGGTAAAAAACGAGGTTTCAAAAAAACAGTTTCTTTCGCACAAAAGGTGGATATAGCATTTATCCTATTGTTTTTCAATTGATAGATTGAATGATTCCAATATAAATTGATTTCCACATTTCTCAAATTTTACAATTTAAAGGAATGGCACTTACCTTTGAAGCAGTTTACTAAATCCGTTAAATCTTGTATGCAATCAAAAATAGTCAGCAAACAATCATCAGGAAGTTCATTTATTAACATTGTTAAATCAATTTTAAAATGGTAACTCTAAAGAGTAAACAGCATAAACAAAACAACAAAGTAAACCTCAAAAAACCATATGAAAAAAAAACAACCATAGTGCTGAGCGATTTTAGCGTTAAAATCGATGCTTATCGATATTTTCTGGCTTTAGTGGTCATCGATTATCGAGATATATCGATGTTTTAATTCTTCTGAATCCTAGCTTTCCACGATTTTGTAAACGTGGA